CTATTACGTAAAATCATTGTTATAATAATAATCAAATTCATTGACTTCGAAAAGAAGCTAAAAAACGATATAACGATTGATTAAACTGTAGCAAGGGAATGAAGTTAGGCTTAGAAAATACTGATAGCGCGATTTCAGAATTACATGGCGTTTCAGAAAATAGCGAAAAATTTTCTTTCGGTTTTATCATTCTAAGTTTCGTTAATACATACTTTATATTTCTAAATTATTCCGAGCGCATAGATCCACGCTATGATCCACGATGAAAATCCACAAACACCAAAACAAATTCGATAATTGTGTAATCGGAGGAAACTCCTGGGACAATGTGTCGCAGCGAAAGTACAGTAAATTCTCCCTAATTGATCCTCACCTTGTAAACAAAAATGGGCAATTTGGGAAGAGGAGATACGATTATTCGAGCCTTGCAGCACGTTTTTATAGTTGTAAACAATCGATAATGGTATGTCAAGGAGTTAATGTTCCGATTCTAGTATTCGAACCAAGCACTCCAATATACTAAATGAGCTACGATAAATTAGTATATATTTATATTTATTAGGCGAGCTCGCCTCTCATTGGTTTTTCGAAAAGGTTACTTCAAGTGATCCCAGGAACTTCTCATTTTCGGTTTGCGAGACATTTTTGGGACGCCCTGTACAGGGTGTGTACAATGTACATATAGTTCACTATATTATGCGAACGATTCAAAAATATCAAACGTCCTATCATTTTGCCCGGCACTGTAAATAGATGTAACCTACATTTCGTAATTGCATGATAATTGACGTTGGACAACCGAAAGTAGAAACGGACGAGAAGAAAGTGGAAAAAAATGTGGCATAAATTTGAACAACGACGTGTACGAGGATATATAGAATTACGTGCTGACAATGAAGAATATGAAAGGAGATTATAATATATATGGATCGGAATAATTCGCCCAAATAATCGATATCGAAGTTATATACCAAATTTAACAGCATAAATCTATATACGATGTTGCGATGAAATTAACTTTTGACGTCTGTCTGTTTGACAAAGATCTTGTTATCTAGCTTTTAGTACTATATTAAAGTTCTAAAATTCTTCATAACGAGCTCGCGGTCTCTAGGCGATCCTTCGATTAATATTGACAGTGATATAACACTTGCTGTAATGGTGACATTCGTTGTTGGCGTTCGCGAATCTGCAGAATTATTTATGCTCGGTTTCGAACGATGCGATACTGGATATTCGGACAAAGATCCCGTTATAAATGGTGCATGAATAAAACAGAACTTTTATTAGTTTCGCGATTATAATTTCCGTTGACTCTTCTCTGTCACGTTTCTTTTTAACTAGGCTCGATATTAATAATTTTAGAGAAACGCAATTAGATTGCACGCAAATCTAGAAATATTATATATGTAAAGTAAATTCTCTCTAATTGACGCTCAGTTTGTACACAAAAATACAATGTATAAAACAATGACTATAAAAACGAGCCGCAAAACTCGAATAAACGTATCTCCTCTTCCCAAATTATTCATCTTTGTGTACAAGCTGAGCGTCGATTAGAGAGAATTTACTATACTTTCTATTATTATGATAAACAGATTGCAGTTATTTATCTAACAATTATAATTATATGCACATATAATAAATTAATACACGTTAGAATAAAAAAGAGACTTCTGTTAACGATTGCTCGAGGTTCGATATAATATAAAAACATTGTTAAGCTCCTGAACTTCGTAAAAACACTGAATTTTACAGAAATGGTTCCACCGTGCACGTATAATATTACATCCACAGACTAATAACAATTTATGACAATCAAGTTGCATCACTGTTTCTGACATTTAATCTTGTATATTTTATTATAGCATTCTGATTATGTTCACTTATTGCAACACGAATTGTAACTATAAAGACTTAGATTTATTACAACACGTTACATAATAATTTACACATCGATCCCTTGCCGTATCATTATCTTCGCAAGTTGCAACAATTAGAACTTCTTCGATTGTAATCAGTTTTTCGAGGAGAAAGAAAATGTATATTTATTGTCTGCCTGCATTGACTTCGGTACTTAAACATCGATGAGAAAAGAACAGAATTAATTCCAACTTGAAGAGAAACAAAATAACATTTACTAACAGATTCTTGCTATAGAACTCAATAATCGCGAGTCAGACTCGTGAAAGCACAGCTTGTAAACAAAAATGGACAATTTGGAAACAGGAGATATTATTCGAGCATTGTGCTTTGTTTTCATAGTTGTTGACAATCGGTAACTATAAAAACGAGGTCTCGAGGCTCTGATACAATAAATTTTCTCCAATTGTCCCTGGGCTTGTAAATGGACAATTTAAGAAGAGACAGGATTATTCGTGTCTCGAAGCTCGTTTTTACAGTTGTTGACGATCGGCGACTATGAAAACGAGCCGCGAGGCTCGAATAATCGTATCTTCTGTTCCCAAATTGTCCATTTCGGTTTACAAAATGGAACAGTTGGAGAGAATTCACTGCAATCGTATCTTCTCTTAACGAGTCGTCAATTTTCGTTTGCAAGCTGAAAGTCAATCGGCGACTATGAAAACGAGCCGCGAAACTCGAATAATCGTATCTTCTGTTCCCAAATTGTCCATTTCTATTTACAAAATGGGACAATTGGAGAGAATTCACTGCAATCGTATCTTCTCTTCCCGAATCGTCAATTTTCGTTTACAAGCTGAAAGACAATCGGCGACTATGAAAACGAGTCGCGAGGCTCGAATAATCGTATCTTCTGTTCCCAAATTGTCCATTTCGGTTTACAAAATGGAACAGTTGGAGAGAATTCACTGCAATCGTATCTTCTCTTCCCGAGTCGTCAATTTTCGTTTGCAAGCTAAAAGACAATCGGCGACTATGAAAACGAGTCGCGAGGCTCGAATAATCGTATCTTCTGTTCCCAAATTGTCCATTTCGGTTTACAAAATGGAACAGTTGGAGAGAATTCACTGCAATCGTATCTTCTCTTAACGAGTCGTCAATTTTCGTTTGCAAGCTGAAAGTCAATCGGCGACTATGAAAACGAGCCGCGAAACTCGAATAATCGTATCTTCTGTTCCCAAATTGTCCATTTCTATTTACAAAATGGGACAATTGGAGAGAATTCACTGCAATCGTATCTTCTCTTCCCGAGTCGTCCATTTTCGTTTGCAAGCTGAAAGACAGTCGGCGATATTAATGCATTCGTATTTCTTGTGGATATTGTTAATTCAGTTCGTATTCGCGATTCTGATCGAATGCTTTTTGCCAGACGATGGTGCGCGGACGCGAACGCGTTCGTAAGCCGATTCGTCCGAGAAGCAGGTACGAGAAGGCCGGTAGGAAAAACAATCGGTGAAATTCCAGAATAAAATGGCGACGTTGAAATTATTGGGCACCGGAACGGTGCTCCGGCCGCGGGATTACTTACGATATCGTGTGCCTCGGGCAGAACTCGCTTTGGGAAATGATTATAAAACCGTAAAAGCAGGCCTTACGAGTTACACGGAACGATTTACTCGGGCCGGTGCAAATTGTAACGCCGTCTTTGTAGTCGGCAGCGGGCAGGTGCATTGCGATTTCAGTGGAAAGAGTATTAATAAAATTACCGTTAGTCAGATAGGATCGCGCCACCGCCATTACCGGACAGTGGGAAGCCCCGTGTGATCAAAACGAAGCTTTATCGGCCACTTATGCGAAACTAGACGCGTAAATCGCGGTTAAAACTCGTTCGAGATTTTCTTATCGGGACGCCGTTCATCCTGGGCAATTATTGTACACGCTGTTAGATTGGGAACGGCTTGCAATACGATTTGCGAACATGGCGACCCTCGTTTACCACGGGCGAATATTGGATCGGTGCTTGCGCGGTTCTTATATAACAAAGTTCACCGTGCGCACGGTGTGCAACATTATTCGTTCGCGATATAAAGGTCTTTCTATTTTTCTTCTTTTTTTTTAACCACTCGCGCCGACATTTCTCCTCGCGGCAACGTTAATTAACCCCTTGCACTCGAAGCCATTTTAACTGTAAATCTAAAATGATTTTTCTGACCTACGCTGGTCTCTATTTTATACGACAGAGCGCATTTTATGCGTGTGAAATTGAGTCTTGCGACTTATACAACAGTTGTACTTTTAACAATTTTTCGAATCTAAACTTTCTTGATGTGATATAATTAAATTAATATATTTATATATATTTATATATCAATCATTGCCCGACAGAACGAGATTTTTGTTTCTCGCAAAGGATCTTTCAGAAAGGGCCACCGATAGTATTCTGTAAATAATGATATTTTGTAAAATAAAACGCATTTAAATTTGCAAAATTCTGCAAATCTTTATCGCAACTTTTCCTACGATCGTTTGCAATTATGTATGGAATACAATGTCAGCCGAATGACCACCAAAATTCTTTCTGCACTCGATCAGCTTTTTTCTGAAAGAAAAAAAATCGTCATATACTGGTCCCCGGAATGCCCAATTGTCGCCAACGACGTGAAATTGACATTTTCGTAGTTTCATCCACACGTGTAGGCTTCTTTGAAGAGATGAGATTTAGATGACTTTTGACGCTAAACTTACGATGCCAGTCGAATCGACCGGTCTCCCATTTTTTATCATCAAATTGTCGAAATTATGAAGACCCGATCGAAACGATTTAATAAATTCCTTCGTTCAAGCTCGCATTCCGATAAAAATAGAAGTCCAAATAAATTCAGTTTCGTCGTTCTTATAAAACAACACGGGTTATGTCACTTTTCGAGCTCGGTAAATTTAGCGTTAACGAAATTTCATCTTCTTCGTCGCCTAACTTCGAATTCATTCAGTTTACAATGCATCTATGTGAAACGTGAAACACCATTTGATAGTGTACGGTAATGCTGGTGTACGGTAATTTGTTCGCGTTGCTTTAGCGCGACTCTAAATAGAGTGAGAGATTGCAAATCCTGAATGGCTATCGCTTTTTGTAACAGTAGCCGGAGCGTTTCCAAGGAGGATCGGCCATCCCTACCAAAACAGGACACCGCCGAAGAGAAAGAAACCGAGGACAAGCTTCACCAGATTGCAAATCGCCGAGCTAGAGAAACGTTTTCACAAACAGAAATACTTAGCGTCGGCCGAGAGAGCAGCTCTCGCGAAGTCCTTGAAGATGACTGATGCCCAAGTGAAGACCTGGTTTCAGAACAGACGGACAAAATGGAGGTAAGTTGCTGGCATCTCCATAATACAGTAATGTCTCCCTAATTGACGCACAGATCGTGCACAAGAATGGACAATTTGGAAAGAGGAGATACGATTATTCGAGCCTTGCTGCTCGTTTTTTATAGTTGTTGACAATCGGTGACTATAAAAACGAGTCGCAAGGCTCGAATAATAATCGTAGCTCCTATTCCCAAATTGTACATTTTTGTGCACAACCTGAGCGCGTCAGTTAGGGAGACGTTACTGTACTTAGAAAAATTTAATCCACTTAACTTTAACCAACGCAGAAGTAGATTATCTTTGACTACGTTGAGAAATATTTGCTTTTCATGGCATATTGCGATGTACAGCAATGTCTCTCTAATTGACGCTCAGATTGTCCACGAAAATGGATAATTTGGGAAGAGGAGATACGATTATTCGAGCCTTGCAGCTCGTTTTTACAGTTATTGAGAATCGGTAATTATAAAAAAAAACGAGCTGCAAGACTCGAATAATCGTATCTCCTCTTCCCAAATTGTCCATTCTTGTGCACAATCTGTGCGTCAATGTGCCGCACGTTGCGTTGGTCGTAAGATAAAAATTATTGCAGTTTGCTTGGGACGTTCTACCTCATCCTCCGTACTCCCCAGACATTGCTCCATCCGATTATTACTTCTTCTCGTAAAAAATTCTCTGTTCTTCTCGTTAAAACATTCTCTCCGTGAAAAACGGTTTAAGTTCGTAAGCGAAATGAAAACGCACCTTGATCAATATTTTGCAAATAAACCTCAACAATCTTGGAAAGACGGCATAACGAGGCTTCCTGAAAGATGGAAGAAGGTAATAGAGCAGAACGGTTCGTGTACAACTCGATAAATCAACGTTAAACAACAAATATCGTGTAATCATTTCGCATCAAAAAAAGGAAAGAACTTATGGGACACCCTAATATTAAAGCAGGTGGAAGGGAGACGCCTATGTGTACCCTTTCGAACCTGAATCGAAGTAGAAAAATCCATCGCGAAGATCGAATGTCGGTTGTAATTCGCCTGTAACGTTCAAGCCGCGCGAGAGGGATGTCGATCCTTCCGGGTTTCGATGTTGCGGCCGTTTCGCGCGCGGAGCCTCGCGTGAAAAAAACTTGGACGGAAAAACGCGAGATGGAAACCGCGCCCGGAATGTTAATAGCGGGTCAGAAGCGTCCTGTCGCGTGTATCTGTGAACGCACAGAGAGCCGAACGTATTGGAGTCTCTTCAAGATAAGGAAGGACGAAAACACGTCATTTAGATAAACCCGGGCCCGTTCGTGGCGCGGGTACCCGATACGAGGGGCGTCTTTGCGGCGCGGGACCATGTCGGGGGGGACATTCTTCGGGAGTAAGGCCCGAAACCCGCCGCGTTTCCTGCCTAATAGTTTTAGGCCAGTTCTAAAAGCGTCCTCCCGCTGCGCGTCCTTGAATTATTCCGGGAAGCGTTAAGATCTCTCGATGTGGCTGCGTTGAAGCCGCGGACAGTTAGCAGGATCAGGAGCATAGAAGGTTTATACCCTTATCTAAGAATTTTTCGACGACCTCGTAACTTCGTGAACTGTCCTTGCTTTTTAGTAGAGTGATTCACTGTGTCGAGCTCGGAAAAATGGGGAGATAGGATGGATACGTCTTTTAACGTTTAGAGGGTGTCTGGTTTGGGGATGAGTTACTTTCAAGCATTTTCCGGTTTTTTAGATAGTTTGTGATTGCAGCTGATTCATAGGGTTACTCCGTCTAAGTATAGAAGCTAGAAGCATCGAGGTCCTTTGTTACCAACCCTTTGTTTTGTTGGAATAATGAACGGCTGATGTTACTTTAACATCTTGCGAAAGATGTTACGATCGGGAAGAGCAATTTTGCACGGAAGATATGGTTCTCGACGAAATGGCGTTCGGTTAACCCTTTGCACTCGACTGGTGACTCCGACTCGCCGCTTAAATTGTTGTATAACATTTCAAAATAATTTTAACGTTGTCAGATTTGTTTATATCTTGAAAACTGTCAAAAGCGCAATTGTCGCACGAGTTGTAAAAGTCAATTTCACGTATATAAAATGCTCTTAAGTTGTACGAAATGGAAATACTATGAATTAGAAAAACTATTTTGAATTCAGAGTTAAATTGGCTTCGAGTGCAAAGGGTTAATAACGACGTGATTGCATGATTAATAAAGTTACATCAGAACTTTCTGGCTTTTTGAATCCAATTTCGAGAGGACAAAGCCATACGTTGCTATGAAAAAGAACGATTGCGTTATGGATCCGATACAGACATTATATGCATGTTGCATATAATAAATAACTAATAGCGAATTAAGCGGCAAGCATTTTGCATTTTTCAAAATTTCTCTTATTAACTGCACGACTTTTACAAAAGTAATCGAATCCGTTGCTTTCCATCCGCATAAAATGTTCACAAAGCGAATCTCCTTAAATATAGGTTATTGCAAAATAACTATTATTATTATTGCATTATATGCGTGTTGCATATAATAAATAAATAATAGCGAATTAAGCGGCCAGCATTTTGCATTTTTCAAAATTTCTCTTATTAACTGCACGACGAAAGTAATCGAATCCGTTGGTTTCCGTCCACATAAAATGTTCGTAAAGCGAATCTCCTTAAATATAGGTTATTGCAAAATAACCATTATTATTATTGCATTATATGCGTGTTGCATATAATAAATAAATAATAGCGAATTAAGCGGCCAGCATTTTGCATTTTTCAAAATTTCTCTTATTGACTGCACGACGAAAGTAATCGAATCCGTTGGTTTCCGTCCGCATAAAATGTTCGTAAAGCGAATCTCCTTAAATATAGGTTATTGAAAAATAATAGAAATACCAGAACTATGAAGGAAAACGTCTGTATATTAATTCGAAATATCTTTAGAACGTTTTGCATCGTGGTGCACATACCAAATTTAGCAAAAAGCGAACTAGATCTTCTTGGACAAGCCGAGTTTGTGGAAGAGCAATGCCGTTACTCCTCGCATTGTTCCTAGAGGCTAAGCAATAAAACGCGGATCGACAAAAAGGAGGAATGTAAAACGTGTTCCACAAAAACGAAGAGAATGTCTTGGGAAGGTTTGCAACGATCTAATAAGAGATTGATAACAGGACTCGATGCGAAAATCTCCCGTTGCCGTTCTGACGGTCTTGGGCTTCTTGCCGGATCTTACGAGAACGTTTTACCAGATTTTTAAGAATATCGAAAGAGAGAAATTAAACTTTTTTCGAGAAGAAACTAAAAAATAATGGTCACTTTATCGATAGAACTTACTTCGTTGGGCAGTAAGGATACGTATTGTGTCCCGGATCTTGTGCTTTCACCTATTGTTACTTTTCCGTTCAAATTTTATGTTCACACAAATCTTTATATTACTTTTGTCTAATTAAAAACTTGATAAAATTATTTTTATGTTATAAAATGTATCAGCTACGATGATTCTGTCGTTAAAATTGAAATAATCAATTTCTGATTAGAAGTTTAGAAATTGGTATTGCATTTGCTATTATATGCATTTTTGTACTTTATAAACTTTTAATTTGCAATAAAATGAATTGCAAAAGGCGGTGTTCATAATATCGTTAATTATTTCGTATCTGCAACAAAAATCGTCCGTTTAATTCTCCAGCGATTCGATTGTAATTAGACTATGTATTCATGCGATCATTGTAGCATTCACAGATTCGTAAAATAGAAGGAAAATCGCACAGCAACGAACATTAATTTTCGTTCTAATTTTACAACAAGGCATACTTTAATCGACGAAACGAATTCGTTTCTTACGTTGGTCTGCATCAAATGATCAATGAAAATAGAAGGTCGCGCGAAGATTCGCCGTCTAATTGCGACGGGACGATGACGAGTTTCAAAAGGTGACAATTTAATTGATCTTTCGACCACGGCGCGGCGGGACGAACTGAAATTTTCTGTCTTTTTGTTACACAGTCGCTGTCGTCGCTCGAGGAGCGAGCACGAAAATTCGATTTAGGTGGCGACGACACGTGTTATCTGTCTCTCGGTGTGTTCAGGAACGGTAACGCAGTGACAGATACATTTGTCTGGACGTCCCATCGTATTAAATTTACATCGAAATGACAAGCGTATCATTATTAATCTTGAATACAGAATCGTATGGAGAGCGCGCTGAATAAATCAAGAAATTTGAAGGAATCAGACGCGTCAAAAATTCATCGTCGCCACGAATTAAATATCGTGTTCCCGAGAAATGCATGTAGTACCTATACATATCTCTCCAAAGTTATCCAATACTTATTACGTTCTAAGAGCTTTTCAACGATTTCTTAAGTAACAATATCCCTCGAATAATAATGCACGTTTCGTTCATTTTCGGATTATGACTGCAATGCGAACTTCGAATAATGTTGCCACCGTCTGATCGAGTATCATAATTTCATCGCGATACAGTAATGTTTCCCTAACTGGCGCTTAGATTGTGCACAAAAATAGACAATTTGGAAAGCGCATATACGATTATTCGAGTCTCGCAGCTCGTTTTTATAGTCGTTGACAATTCGTGACTATAAAAACGAACCGCAGGACTCTAATAATTGCATCTACTTTTCCCAAATTGTCTAATGTGTTCCAAAAATGTCTCGTAATCCGGAAATGGCGGATTCCTCGGATCATTTGAAGCAACTTCTTCCTTTACAAAAATTTTCTCCGAGGCACCGTTAACGAGTTATTAACGAAAAACAGTTACTAATAAGAATCGCGTACGGCTGACGCGAGGCGGCCCAGCCAATCAGCGCACGAAACCCAGTTCCGCTCATTGGCTCGATCGCCTCGTGTCAGCTGAACTGGGATTCGACCGCTCGACCGCTGGCGCCGTTGGCTCGGCCGGCTCGCGCCAGCTGAGCTGGGATTCGACTGCCTCGACCGCTGGCGCCGTCGGCTCGGCCGCCTCGACCGCTGGCGCCGTTGGCTCGGTCGCTTCTCATTGATCACTGTTTTTCGTTAA